CACAGCCGAATGTCAGTACAATTATAATCCCTACAACTTCAATCCCAATTTGTGGACATTAAATCATGTTTATTTTGTACATTTACATAACACATACAACATTGGATATTAACGTGTATCCTGTCACATTTGCTGTGCAAAAACAGTGCAAAATTAAACGTGCACGCTGTGTGTGTGTCTGGGTGTGCATGCATGAACTTTGTAACGACATTGTGTGCGACTCATTGTTGCAACTTCATAACAAATACATCAAATAATCATTGGTAAAGGTCTTACTATAGTATTTCAGACAAACGTTACATGTGATCTGCTTCCTTCATGTCTGTCACTTTGCTGTTTATCTGATGCAGACGAGGCAGTGATTGAGGCACACTCTGACAGGCACATGGGAATGGTGGGTGGGGAGAACAAGCATTAAAGGCACAGGCAACAACAGCTACATAATGTTTAGAATGTGCAGAAAATCACATTATTCTGAAAGCTATGATAAATAATCTGATTGGTGTTGAGCTGTAACTTTACCGACATATTCAGAAGGCACAAAAAACTTCTCTTAGTCTTGAAGAAAGGGTTAAAATAGGTGCCCTTTAAATAAAACAAAATTTTACATTCATAAAAATAATAAATAATAATTTAATATGATCTAATACTGTACCATGGTTTTACCACATGGTGTGAATATAAAACATATTCAGCCAAACCTCTCCTTTTTATTGCCTACAGAACAAAGAAAGTCATGCGCTTTCAGAATGGCACCAGGTTGAGTAAATGATACTCTAATCAACAGTCAGGTTGCAATATGTATTTACGCTGCATCTCAGTCCCTATTTCATCCATTCCCTTCCACGCTTGCCATTATATCAATGCCAAGGCAAGTGTAAACCCAGTGGCAAAATTAGCTGCCCTTGTGTGTGCGCGTCCACCCCACATAAAAGCTGGAGAACATTAAATTGAACCGGAAACAGAGGGAGCAGGGCATTCGGAGTGAAGTAATTGGAAGTTTTGTAAAGAAACACCGAGCCTTTATGAAATATGTGCTGTCTGGCTCCTGCGGATGATTGCTGTGAGTCTAATAGAGGAAACGTACAGTTTCTTTTCTAAGAAAGCTAACACTGCCGATTACCCCCCACACGCTCATAAAGACAGACACAGAGAAAGAGGAGGCGGTGTGTAAACGACTTTCTTATTCAAAAAGCATATTAACGATGCACACACACACAAAAAAAGACTGCAAACCCGCCACAGCTCATTAGCTCACAGAAACAAAAGAATTTGCCTGTATACAGTCATTCTTCATTTCATCGCATGAAAAAGCAGGAAATGCTTGGCAGAAATACATAGCAGCAACGTTTTAGCATTTAAGGATTTAAATTAAATTTATCGTTAAAAATAATTCATTCACTGATACAACATTATGCTCTAATGTCTAATCTCTTTTTCATACTCTTCTATAAACTGACAGCCAGTAAAATAACATTTAAAAAGTAATTAAAGGGATAGTTCATCCTAAAATGAAAATGCACTCACTAGTTACTTATTTTTCCATAATAAGAAAAACGAATTCTTTTGAAATCAATCATTACATGTTTCATGCTTTCTTCAAAATATCTTCTTCTGTGTTCAACAAGAGAAAGAAACTCATAAAGGTTGAAGCAAGTGAAGAGTGAGTAAATGATGACAGAATTTTCACTTCTGGGTGAGCTATTTCTTTAAGAATGTAAGTGTTTTTTGACAGCTACACTGAATGCAAGCACCCAATGGCTTTTTTAAAGGGATGCACTGAATTTTCAGCCACTGAAAACTGTTGGTCAAAGTTGGCATTGCTGCTGAGAAGAGAAAAACAAATAAAAAATAAGCCTCAAAAGAGGTCGAGCTGGTCAATTCTATGGTTTCACTCTCCCTCCATAGTGACTGCATGGTCAATGTGAAGTAGCTTTGCACTGTAAAACTAATTTCTGACCAAAGCGAAAGAACATCGGAGCGCACCATCAAGGAGCGTTTGTGTCTATGTCAAAGTTCAAAATAACACATTATTCAGCTTATAAACACATATACTTATCTATTCATGTACTGCACATGCTCACCATTTTCTCAATTAACGCATTGAAAAGACATTTGGGTCCCGCTTTATATTAAGTGTCCTTAACTACTATGTACTTACATCAAAAACATGAATACAATGTACTTACTGTGTTTATAATGTATTTGAGAACACTTGTGGTGCTTTGAGTTGGGATATAGGTTGGGTTATGGACAGGTTTGGTGGTATGGGTAGGTTTAAGGGAGGTTTAAGGTGTAAGGGATGGTCAACACTGTATTTACAAATGTAAATACAAACGTTAATTACAGATGTAATTACATACATGTATTTAATCAAGCATAAGTACACAGTAAATTCATGTATTTACACAATAAGTACATTGCAACAAACGATTAATTCATGTGTAAGTACGTATTAGTTAAGGTCAATTAATATAACGTGGGACCGACATTTGTATGTAGTACACTTGTTTCTGCTGTATGCAATAGCAATAATTTGCTGTCATGGCAACAAAGGTAAAAGACTTCTGTCAGTTTTTTCTCTATCAATAACATTTTACAGTCAATTAAATGTAGTTATTTTATTAGCTTGTGTTTTTGATAAGTAGTTTATTTAGAATAATGAGTTAGGCCCTAAAAAATTTACTTTATATCATTTAATAAAATAATAAGTAATAATAATTACAAAGCATTCTCGGTTTTGACTTTTTATTTTATTGCATAAAAAAACAAGCAAACCAAATCTAGTAGTGACATTTGGGTTTTAGTGTTTTAAAATGTTAATTAAATCCCTCAATGACTCTCCCACTCCACCAGTTTTAAAAAGTACTTCTTTTACAGTATATTCTTTTCAATACAATTTCAAACTGTAAAAATGGCAAAAACGACTCCTCTAGGGTCAACCTACAGATTAGAAGAAGACTAAACATGAGACAAATTGTTAGCTTAAACTGCTGTAAACTATTTTCTTTTTTAAAAAGCATTTTAATGATTCACACAATTTCTCCAGTGCAAACTGCCACAGTTTATTAGCTCACAGAAACAAAAGAATGCCACTGTTTACAGTCGTTCGTCATTTCATTGCATGAGAAATGTGAGAAATGTTAACTGAAAATTTTCGAAAATACAGCAGCAACATTTTACGTTTTTATGGACATACGTTTAAACAGTTTTTAAACAGTGTACCTTCAGTACAAGTTAAATATATATAAAAAAGACAAACTCAACTTCTCCAGAGTTATACTACATATTTACTACAGATTTAGCTACAAAAACTAAAGACTTTCATAATCAAAAATCATATTAATAATGTAATGGCCATCGCAAACTCACCACAGGTCATCAGCTCACAGAAAGCAAAGAATCTGCTTGTAATATATACAGTCATTTGTCATTCCACTGCACAACATTCCAAAATACAACAGCAGCATTTTAGGATTTTGACTTTTGATTAAATTAAATTAAATTAAATTAAATTAAATTAAATTAAATTAAATTAAATTAAATTAAATTAAATTAAATTAAATTAAATTAAATTACGATAGGTCAGATGGCGTTTCTGTGTGGAGTTTGCATGTTCTCCCTGCATTTGCATGGGTTTTCTCCGGGTGCTCCGGTTTCCCCCACAGTCCAAAGACATGCGGTACAGGCGAATTAGTTAGGCTAAATTGTCTGTAGTTAATGAGTGTGAATGAGTGTGTATGGATGTTTCCCAGAGATGGGTTGCAGCTGGAAAGGCATCCGCTGCATAAAACATATGCTGGATAAGTTGGTGGTTCATTCATGAATAAAATAAAATAAAATAAAATAAAAAAATTATAATAAAAAATAAAATTAAATAAAATTAACTTACATAATCACTTCCTATTTCATTAAAAAAAAACAAAAAAAAAACATTTTCTTCCTTTCAGTACATGCTAAATATGTAAAAATGAGAAACTCAACCATTCCAGAGTCATACTACAGATTAAGAAAGAAGACTAAAGCAAAGATGGGTATGTTAGCTAAAAGTTAAATTACTTTCATATTCAATGGGCATATTAATGATGTGCGCACACACAAAAAAGCAATTTCTGCCACAGTTCATTAGCTCACAGAAACAACAGAATTTGCCTGTATACAGTCATTTGTCATTCCATTGCACGAGAAAAGTGAGAAAGGCTAACCAAAATCTATCTACAGTGGCAACCAAAATCTATCTACAGTAGCAACATTTCGGATTTTACCGACTTAAATTAAATTAAATCACCTAATGACTTTATTTTCTCCACGTTTTTTTAAACAGTGGCTTCTTTTCAGTACAATTTAAAAGCAAACTCAACCTCTCCAGAGTCATACTACAGATTAAGAAAGAAGACTAAAGCAAAGATAGGTTGTTAGCTAAAAGCTAAACGACTTTCATATTCAAAAGGCATATTAATGATGCACGCGCACACAAAAAAGCAATTTCTCCACTACAAACCCGCCACAGTTCATTAGCTCACAGAAACAAAAGAATCTGCCTGTATACAGTCATTTGTCATTTCAACGCATGAGAAAAGCAAGACGGGGCAACATTGACGCTCTGTAACCTTTTCTGTTGGTGCCGATCTCCTCGTGATGACTCTGTTAAAAGACTATTAGCAGAGAATTATCCAAGTCATTCTCCGATGTAATTATGCGGCCTATTGACAGCAGCTGTCATTTTCAGGCTAACATGAGCATATTATGTTGACATGAGATAACAAGGAGTGTTTCCCCTTCAGTGCGCAGAGAGTCTCTCCTAATAGAAAGCAATGATTGAGAGCTCCCGACTCCCAGAGTCTTAATCGCTCGTGCCAATCTAATCAGTAAGTGTACGCTCATAAACAGGTTTGTCTAGAGCGGCTGGATCCATGCCAGCCGGAGACACTGGCACGAGTGCAATTAGTGGGAAGTAGATGAAGCAGATGTTTAGAGGTTGACATGTAGGAATGGCTCACCTTGATAGCGCAGGAGTAAGGAGCTGGACTGCGGTTGGCGGCTGCGAAAGTGGATGGAGATTTGGTTGCTCCAGCTGCGCACCACCAGACCTTTCAGTAGGATGGACTCGTTGGCCAGGACAGAAGGTTCTCGGTTACCCAGGTCTTCGAATATGACTACGTCACCCTCAGACAGGCTCACATTCATTACCTAAGCATTGGGAGAGATGAAAAAAGAAAAAGAGATTGGGGTGAACATTTGATCAATGTGAGTAAGCTGTGTAATGGACTTTTATGTATCTGAGGGTCTTGTGGACTTGAGGAAATCTCTTTATAACAGTTGATATACAGTACATTGATTTCTTCTTCTTCTACTACTACTACTACTACTGAATAACTACTACAACTACTAATAAAAAAATGTTAGATAAAAAGAGAACATCTAATAATCTAGACATTATTTTATAGAAATAATTTATTGATTATAATTTTTTTTTAGAAATTAATATCATTTATTATGATGGGGTCGGATTTCTGTCTTTAAATCCATCCCAGCAAGGATCAACGTTTATCCATTTTCTGGCTCAAACCAGCGAACTTCTTGCTGTAAGGCTATCGTGCAACCCGCTGCTTTTGACTAATGAATAAAGTTTAATATTACCTAATTTCGAAATGCGTTTAGGAATGTTCAGTTCAAGTGTTTTTGTCCCTATATTTGTATGTCATAACTCATTTTCAGGAGCCACCAAACCAGAGGCCTGATGATTGGGAACAACTGTTCCTATTGTTATTTCCATGTATTAATTCTGTTTAAAGGGATTTTACTATTTGTATGTGTTAATTGTGTTTAAAGTGATTTCCTTTTTGTGCAGGAAAAACTTTGTGTAGTATGTGAGCTGCCAGTTTGGATGTAGATTGTACTGGTTTTTACTGGTTTTTAACTGGTTATTGTAAAACGATGGTTTGTTCTGTAGACTATTGAAAAAATATATAGCTTAAAGGGGCTAATAATATTAACCTTAAAATGATTTTTTTTAAATTCAAAACTGCTTCTATTCTAGCCGAAATAAAACACATAAGACTTTCTCCAGAAGAAAATAAATATTATAAGACATACTGTGAAAATTTCCTTGCCCTGTTAAACATAATTTGGGAAATATTTGAAAAGAAACTTAAATGTAAAGGGAGGCTAATATTTCTGACTTCAACTGTATATGTATGACACAGTTATTGACGTTATGTAAAAGTACAATTGTTGTTATTTTGTATGATGCAGTTAATGACGTTATGTAAGAGTATAATTGTTGTTGTTTTGAGATTGTAGCAGAGCAGCCTAAAAACTTTTTACGAGTGTTAAAGCCGACTTCAGCTGATCTTAGTAAACTTCCTTTGTAATTGAATCTCTGACTCCGGCTTTTATCTCATCTGACAGAATGGTCATTTTTTTTGTTGAAACTGTACAATATCCCTACAATTAATTATTATTTTTATAGACATAATCTAGATTATTTTTTGCTGACATAAATTAAAGCTTACATATAAAATGTAACAGTTAATTTGCTTTCATTAATTGTTCAAATAAAATAAAATCTAAATATGTTTATAAAAACTTGAATAATATTAACTAATAATAATAATTACATGACTGGAAGTTGTAAAAGTAAAGCTAAAACAAAAATATATCAATGTTTCTACACGGTAATAAAATTAATGATAGCACATAAATTGGTAAAAGTCTATTACAAAAAAAGATAAATTATACATTTGTAAATATACGGTAATACAAATATATTATTATCAATTTCTAATGGCATAATAATTTATAACATTTATTAAAATTTGGAAAAATTATAGGTGGGTTGGAAATTATCTGTTTAGTGTTATAATAATGAAACATAAAAATACTATTCTTATTGGAACACAAGTATGCAAGTATTATTATAAAACCATAACAACTATCTATTAAAAGTTACAAAAATATAGTCAAAAGAAACAACAACACTAAGAACCAGAGATATTTGACAAAACTTTAAGTAATAAAATAAGTAAATGAGCTTAGCTTAATTTGGCAGAATAATCATTAAATTCTCCATTCTAATAACTCGCAAACTTAAACACACACACACACACACACACACACACACACACACACACACACACACACACACACACACACACACACACACACACACACTAAACTTTTTAATGGGATGAAAAAGATTCAACATTTCAACATAAAAATATTAGTTAAAATTAAATAAATAAAAATATGTACTTTAATAGAAATGTTACAGTAATAAAACTTCTAGGATTATTATACAACTGATCCTAAAGGTGTCAAATGTGACCCATCAGAAGGATAAGCATGTTTGTTAAGTGTTTTAATAGGGAACAGGAACAGGAATAGGCAAGACTGCTTAAAAATGGAAAAGTTCGGACAACACGCAACAGTAGAAGGACAGACTGATGTGTTTTGGGAAATGCAGTGATGGCAGCGGGGTGACACATTCTGCCACACTGACTGCACTCATAATGGTATTGGCCTGTCTGTCTGCCAAACTGCATGGTAATTGCACCACGGGCAATCTCCTGTCTGCCGAAGCCAGCATGCATATCCTCACCTGTCACTAATAGAAATCCACAGCCGCCCATTACTTCTCGTTCTGCCCGTCTAGCGCTTCAGACAACACATGCAACAACTGCATGAGCCAATATCCAATACTGCGGCGTGGGTGGAAGTCGTGACACAGAGCGGTGTAAAAAAGTCGGAGTCTGGGGAATAATTACAATCACGCTGAATGAAAAAGTCAGACCTATTCAAGCAACGCTGCCGTCGCAAAACGATGCCATTGTAGCTGATCCGGGATCAGCAGGGATGTGCCCTTGCGCTCCTCTCAGGTAATGAAAGTGTCTTTAATCAGATGCAGGCAAATGAATGTGACCCAAGGAGGGACCCTGACGAGACGCAGACGTGACGACAGGTTAATGAGGACTCGCACGCGTCGCCCTCAATCTAGACACCCGTAACTCCTGATGACACCAAAGACACCTCCACCTCTCAGCTTAAATTAATGCTGCTGTCTGGAGTTTACCGTCAGGAAACTTTTACAAAAAGAACGGTCATTTCAATTTCTTCACCGTGAACGATGAAGACTGAATATAAAGTGTGAGTGTGTTGGAATGTTCTTAAGGGGCCCCTATTATAGGTTTATATGAATTCAGGGTCAAAAAGCACTCATTTTGTTATAATATATACTGCAGCATCTCCTCTTTTCTCAGAGTGTCTGAACCAGTTCATTCAAGAATCAGTATCTGTAAGCCTGTCTTTCCTAGAGCCTGCTCTCCTCTGATTGGTCAGATGGAGCAGTCTGTTGTATGTCAGAAACTCACATTTGATAGGGTGAAAACAGAACAAATTTGCGTGTTTTGCAATTAATTTAGATGATGCCATTTTTGAATGAATAAAGCTATTATTTATGTAATAAAACTAAAATGTCAGAATTTGACATCAACAAATGAAAGCATGGATCCATTCTGCATTGTATCAATAGTTCAGGCTGGTGATGGTGTAATGGTGTGGGGGATATATCCTTGACACACTTTGGGCCCATTAGTACCAATTGAGCATTGTCACAGCCTACCTGAGTATTGTTGCTGACCATGTTCATCCCTTAATGACCACAGTGTACCCATCATCTGATGGCTACTTCCAGCAGGACACCGCACCATGTCATAAAGCACAAATCATCTCAGACTGGTTTCTAGAACATGACAATGTTCCCTGTACTCAAATGGCCTCCACAGTCACCAGAACTCAATCCATTAGAGCACCTTTGGGATGTGGTGGAACAAGGAGATTCGCATCATAGATGTGCAGCTGACAAATTTGCAGCAACTGCATAATGCTATCAAGTCAATATGGAGCAAAATCAAAGGAATATTTCCAGTATCTTGTTGAATCTATACCATGAAGGATTAAGGTAGTTCTGAAGATAAAAGGGGGTCCAACCCAGTATTAGTACCTAAAAAAGTGTCCGGTAAGTGCATACAAAGTGCTTTTGCAATAAAACAGTGTCTTCTCAACATTTTGATTACTAAATCCAACTCTACAGTGTTTGAGGGTCAAAGTACATGTTGACCATGGGCAGCAAGGGAAAACCAAACAGTACACTGGCATTTTGCAAATTTATTTCAAGTCTACAGTTTTGTGCAGGAAGTAAGACTGAAATTTTCTAAGATGTAATTTCAGTAATCTGTTTTCTTTTTTTTTTTTGGTGAGAAAACTCAATTTTCTGTGCACTTCGACATTTAAAACTTTAAATTTTTACATCCACAAAAAGCTATATTACAGCATTCAAAAAAGCATAATACAGGCACTTTAAAAATGGTTTCTGGAAACACACTTAAAGGTTCCTGAGTGCTGTGGAGGCAACAGGTGACAACCTGATGATGTGTACTACAGAATAAATTCACGCTTAATAAAGCCGGAGCTGGAATGTGCTGAAGCAGTCTATAAAACAAAAGTGCATTACAAAGTAATCACATTACACTAAAAGCCCTCGGATAATAAAATGTTTCCAGAATATTGCTCGCCATAATCCAATTTGCGTTGGCACCGGGCCCGACCGTCTACCCCACGCATGTAATCCCTCGCATAAACATGACTGTCAGTCAGATGCAGACGTTGGCGTGTAAGCGCGCAGCCTCTCTGTGTCTTTCAGGGTCAGCTTTGATTAAAATATTTGCTGTTTTCTGCATGGAGCACAACAGGCAGTTTCAGAATAAAGGAAAATTATGTCAATTATGCCAGCACTACCGGCCTGCACAGCAGCCTATATGCCATAAAGTGAACAGGGAAAAAAAAGCCTGATGTTTTGTGTCCCATATACAAAAAAAGATCTTAAAGAGACAGTACAGTCAAATGTAAATGTACACAAATAAATCTAAATATTTAGGTGTCAGTATTTTCTCTAGCTATAAGATCAGAGCACAAATTCAACAGACTACTAGCTAACAACATTCTGATGGTGCTCTATTGGATTTTCATCTGGTGACTGTGAAGACCATCTGAGTTTAGTGAATTCACAGTCATGATCGAGAAATAATTTGAGCTTTGTGATTGGTGCATCATCCACCAATAGATGGGTTTACTGTGGACATTACATTGTAAAAGTCCTCATACTGGATGTGGCATTTAAACAATGCTCAGTG